AGAGGAGAAGCCATCCAGTCCTAGGAGATCCCAGTCTGAGAAAGGAGGCAGAGCCCAGTTGATTCTGGGCACTCCTAGCCCAGGGTCTCCGCGTCTGCGGGGACTGCAGAGCCCAGTATTGGGTGGGATAGGACACCAACCCGCGGAAATGGCCAGGGGCAGGTACAGGAGTCCTGTGCTTCCAAGAGCTGTAGATGAGCCGTATCAGCCAGGGTTTGCTGGCAGCCCATCTCTGAGCTTCAATCTGCAGTCTGTCTGAGAAGGTGGCTCCGTCCTCTCCCCGCTAAGCACGGCTGTGGGTAACAGGAAGGTTTTGAGCTTTGAGCCAGTATTTCAGGAGCACTGTGTCCCCTTCCACAGCCTCCTCTCCCCCTGCAGCTCTGCATTTCAACCCTTGAGTAGACCCAGGACTCAGGGTTCATCAAGCTCAGAAGCCTGTTTAGAGTGAAAACCCCAAGACCCACCTACCTCAGAAGGGGATGCCTGAGAGACTGCATGAGAGCGGTGCGTGCATGTGTCCCTGCGTGCAGTGCGTGTGCGCCAAACATGTGCACGTGCACAGCGTGCCTCTGTTCTGCCAGTCCGAGCCCTTCCTGCACATGGCGGATAGGGAGCTCCCACTTCTTTCCCAGCTCACAACAGGTTGTCAGACCAAGTTTCCTTCCTTCAAGGGTAGTGCAAGCCTGATTGCTGCCCCGTTGGGTCAGAGCAGGCTGTAAGCACGTGCAGGGGTTAGAACTCATGACTGGACCTGGCCTGCCCATGTACAGGTGGTTGGAAAGAGGTGCGTGTGAGCTTGCATGCCTTAGGCATGGGCAAGGCCTGGGGTGGGGTAGAGTTTAGTATCTGCGTGTGCTACCCAGACACACGAGCATGCTGGAGAAGCATGCCTGCTGCCGCAGGATGATTGTCCAAACCTGTGCGTGAGTGTGCATGTGTACACTTGCATGCTTGTGCATGCAGAGGACCACCCTAGCCAGGCAGGATTTGGGGAGAAAGGAGACATGCTCCCCCTCCCCCATATTTGGGCTCAGTCTTCCTTGCTCCAGGCTGGAGATCTGCAGTGGATGACCTGGGGCACTCTGCTGCGCTTAACCTCACCCTTGTATAGCAGGCTAGGGCTCCCATATCTGCAATGCCTTCCAACCCCCTTCCCCCTAGTCCCGCCTGAGCAAGGGGATAGTGTGGGGACACTTAATTGCATCCATGAATCATTCTCAAATAGCTCCTGTCCAACAGCTGGACTCAGGGTGCTGGTGCCTGCCTGGAGCGGGAGACAGGCCTGGGTGGGCCAGGCTCTGGGGGGATGAAGGGCGCTGCTCACTCTGTCAGGAAAGCTGGCAGGGGTCCTGGCCAGATCACTGGCCCCTCCTTTTTCCACAGCCTGCTGCCCCTCGCCTTCCCCTTGTTGCACAGAATTCACCCACTGCTACTTGGCTGTCTTACCTCCTTGGCGGCCAGGGGGTGAAGCAGAAGCAACTCCCCCAGACCTGGCCACCCCCACTCCTTGTTATCTTGCCCGGCAGCCTCCTCCCGCCCCTTGCAGCCTTTCCCTGCTTCTTTTCCCAGCATCCTCTAGGCCTTGCTTTGTCTGCAGTTGTCTTTTTTCCTGCCTCTCCCTGTCTGTCTTCTCTCTCTAGGGCATTGAGGGGGGGAATCCCCCAGGCCCAGCACATGAGCCGGAGTATGTCATCCTGTCCCAGTTAGAGACTGACCCTGCGCTTGCAGCTGAGGATCCATTTCTACTGAGTCCCTTCAGCTGGCCCAGATATTAGTTGGGCAGGGGTACCTAGGTCAGAATCTAGGCTCAGCCTGGTAATAACTTCCAGCAACTGCTCTGCTTTGAGCCTGTTTCCTGATGAAAATGGTTCAGGGACTAAAAGTGGTTCAGAGACTAATCAGATGCTGTGAGGGCTCTGCCCCTGGCTGTGCCTCCTGCTGGAAAGCTTCCCAGGCTTCCCACCAGTTGGGAGGCTGGGCAAGGGCACGTGGACGTCCCTTGCCTCCACCTGAGAGCCCTGGGCAAGCTCAACCCCAACTTCCTCTAGCTTGTAGAGACAGAGAAAGGGTCTGGATCCAATGTAGACTCTGCCAAAGGAGTATTTCTGTGTCAGTAATCATGCAGATGGGTAAAGGGAGTGTGAGCAGCAGAAATGCATTTTATCGACCATAGAAATTATTTACCTGGTTTGAGAAGAATTGCTAAGAGATTGAAGCACTTATTGTGCACAGGGCCAGCCTGACCCTTTGCCCCACAACTGGGCAACAATTTCCTTTTCTAGCCCGTGGTGATCCCTGGGGGTAAGGGACCTGTCAAGAACCTGCAGGTCCCCAAATTTGTTGCCTCTTCCACTCTACAGAGATCTTCGAGACCGAGTTCTAGCCAGGTCTCCTTGAATCTGAGAAACCTGCAAGAAGCCTTCATGAGACCTACTTTCACCAGGAGCACCTAAAACAGGCCAACCCATAAATGGTGAGGTGCTGCCACCTGGTGGCCACCAACAGCACAGCCCTTCCCCAGGGTACAGTCTCCAGGGCAATTTCCGCACCCCCCTCCATTCCCACCTGTCCCTGAGGGCTTCATCCTTTGGGAATCAGGGTGGCCAATGGCTGGACTCCAGGCGCCCTTGAGACCTCCAGCCAGACTGTGCATGCCTGGGGAGCTTAGCTCAGGCCTGGCTGCTCATCTGGGCTTTGAAACTCTTTTGATGCATGGCCATGACAGCTGCTCCTGGACAGCTCTCAAAGCCCTGCACAGTGTAGCAGCTGTCCCAGCAACGGGTGGGCTGGACTTGGGAACCCTGGAGGATCCCTCTAGGTCAGAGGAGACCCTTCCAAATTCAGAATTTGGGCTTCGCTGATTGAGAACTTTGCACTGCTCTTGTAGCACCACCATCAGCCATGGCTGGGAGGAACAGCAACCCTGTGGGCAGGGTAGGACCTGGCACACCCATTCCTGGGCTTGGGGTTGGAACAGCCCATGATGGGCAGTGGGGAATGCCTGGTTCCTTGGGCTTCAGCCTCAGGTTCTCAGGGGGTGAGAGTCACTTATCACTAGCAAGATCTCCCAAATACGGTTCTTACATGAGATCCAAGGAAAGCACACAGCACAGCAAACTGGAAGAAACAGCCATGGGTTCAGATACAGGATGAGGGCAGCAGTCACCTGGCTAAGTTATGCTGGTGACAGGTATAGCTGTGGAACAGACTGAAAGTGGGAAAGGGGGCCGCCAGCTTCTCTGAGGGGCTGATCAGAGGATGGACGCTAAATTCATGTTTATAGGAAAGCCCATGGCAGTGCAGACAGCAGATGCGGTGGTCCAGAGCTGTCTTCATGAGTCTTAAACAGCTGAGAAAGCATCAAGTAGGTTGGGATCAAGCGCCCTTCCTGATGTGGGCAGACAGTTTGAGGCTCAAGATGGCTGATGAAGGCCTGACGCTCTTGCCAGGGCTCGGCTGTGGCTTCCCCAGGGACCAGCTTACACTGGCTTGGCCTTTGGTGACCTGCTTCCCAGATTTCCTGATGTGTGTCCTCACCTGCAAAAGCTGTCCAGGCTGGCTGTCAGAGGTGTCTAATTAAGCTGCTTGTGACTGCTGCTCTGATGCTAAGAGCACCAGCTTCTGCGAGGGCTCTGGAGGTGGGGCTGGTCTCCCCGCCCTGGCCCCTGGCTAACCCTGGATGGGGAAGACAGTTGGGCCCTCATCTGTGAGGTTCCCAAGCCCGCATTTGCCTCCACATCTCCTTAGCAAAGCTAGGCTCAACTTCTCCAAGGTACCCCCAAGGAAACTGGAGTGAGGGCCCCTGCCCTTAAAGCTCCTCCTGCACAACTCTTCATCCTGATTTTATACCGGCCAGGCCTGCCTGAAAATAGAAAAGTATGACCATTCATAAAAGCCATGGAGTTCGAGCTTTAAGAACAAGTTCCCCCCCATCCCTGACTAAATGCCAAACACGAAGCCCAATCACTCAGTTCAGGCAGATGGGCAGCATGGGTACCGCATCATAGCTGGTCTTGAGAACAGCCTCAGACTCGGGCACACTTCCTGCCCTTGTCAAGCACGATCTTGCTGGCCAAAATGATGACAAGGACGGGACGACACTGCTGAGAATGGAAAACCTTGCAATGTCCCTTACCACCTCCTGGGCAGCTAAGATGACTTGGAGGAGTGGAGTGCTGCAGGAGAGAGGGCCTCTCAGCTCCTCCACCTCAGCAGAGGGCTCCTGTATTGTGGCCAGAAGCAGGAAGGTTGTTCCTCACAGAGCAGTAATATGCCTACCCCCATGTCTGGATTTACAGTCTGTAAAAAGTGAAGATGCACAAGTGCTCACACTCCACTTAGGCCTAAAGGGAGTAGAAGGAAGGGGGAAAAGCTGACTCAGTTATGATTTAATTTTCACATACTTATTTCATCACCAGGCTTGACTGGCTCCAACATGTTCTTCTTACCTGGTCACCCAAGAATAAAGAGACACACACTCATTTTTCAAGGTATTTCTTTTGTAAAGGAGCCAGATTTGGCAACTAGACTGAAAATCTTCCAAAATTCTGTACAAATGTGTAATATACAAATATACATAAGGCTTTTGCCGAGAAAAGACAGCACAACAAATGACAGAGGCGGCTTTGGTGTCACATACCACCCTAGGGCATCTCAATACCCCCTAGGAATGCAAGGGGCTGATGGACCACAACATAGGCTACACATGTAAAACACACACTACATTACAATATGTACACCGAAGTATAAAAGACCCACTGTCCCCTTGGTCTGCTCACAGGCCCTCTGGCAGGAAGGCAAGCCATTCACCAGATAACCCATACAAGGGGAACTCCTTTAAGTCGGAGAACCTTGCAGAATGAACTGGTTCACCCTAAAAACCATTAACAGAACAGGGCATGCCCTTAAAGAGAAAGGTGGTCAGAGTGAATTCAGGAGACGGAGCATTCCTTGTGCTCTTTGGAGCGCTTCGTCATCTCTCTCTCTCTCATCCCCGAGTCTCACTCCATCTCAGTGAACCGGGCAAACATGGCCTTCCGGACAGCATCTTTGTAGGAATCTGCACCAGAGAGTCCGTATGCGCTGCCTTTGGCGCCTAGGCCAGCTCCTTTTAGCCGGACTTGAGCCTGGGGGGTAATAAAATTGCAGTCAGCAGCTGGCAGGTAGGGTGTGGAATGCTCCCTCTCCCCCACATCTAGCCCACTCCCTACTGAGCTGGACCATCCATCAGGAGACAGAAGTTTTAAATGAAGACAGGGATTTCTACTTTGGAGACCTGGAGTAGGTTTAAGGACTGAAGGGACCAAATGGGTGAGGGAGAAATGCAGACAGAAGCACACCCTCCCCCAATTCCATGCCTGTTCAGCAAGCACCGTGCCTACTAAACGGCCCCAAAGCCCAGGGAAGGTCTGGTAATTTTAGGTACAGATCATGGCAGGACAGCTCAAAGTCAGCAGAACTCGCCTGCACAAATCAACAGCAAGAGTTTGTTCTAAGCTATGCTGCCAGGTCAGGGAGGGAGCAATCACTGGCGGTGCTCTTGTCTAGAAGGCCAGGGGTCAAGGGCCTCTGGTCCTGAGCTCTGACTGAATAAAGGATTTCTTATCATGGATGAAAGTCCTACTAAAGTGTAATTTGTTTTATACATAAGCAAAAATCACTTAGAAATTAAAGCACAGTACCTTTCTGAAAATCCGATCTAAGCTACTGAGTCAGCATTAAGGTTTGTTTATATCGAAGGATGTAGAAAGACACAGTTCCTTAGGAGAAGGTAGGCTTTACCCAGAGACCCAAAAACCAGAAAAATCAAGATGGGTGCCCCACCTGTTCCTCCCAAATGACATCTTAAAAAGAGGGTGCAATATGGGACGGCTGCAGGGAAGACAACTCCCACTGGGGCCCAGGCCCTCTGGGTGCGTCCACCTCGTCTCATCTCTGGGACAAGCCTGCAGGCTGCTGAAGCCCAATCCCACTGCTTACCTCAATGGGGGCTGTGATGCCTTGACACTTTCTCCCCAAACCTGAGCCTTCCCGCCAACCCATGGCCTGCAGCATCTTGTTGCCAATGTTACTGTGGTCAATGCCATCTTTGGTGGGCTGCTCGTAATTCCTGCCAGTGGCAAACACACAGTTACTCAAAACAGCCAGAGCCCCGGCTCAGAAAGCGGAAAATGTGCACAACACATACACGGTGCCAGCATCAAACTGCTTCTTGCGCTTGGGTTCTGGAGGCTCTGGGATGCCATATTTCTCCCGTCTTTCTGCAGCGCGATCCCGGTATTTCATCTACACGGGAGAACAGCCCGGTTAGAGATACTCAGACTTCAATCTGTAGCAGTCTCAAGCACCCACACTTCAGACTGTCAACTCAGGTGCTTCCTTCATCTGGAGCTTGGCCTTTCAGAGTGCCTGCAAATACCACATGCCCTGTCTCCCTGGCTGCACTTCATCATATCTCAAACGGTAGGTCTGTAGAGATGATCTCTGTGTGGAACCTGGGGCAAAACTACGTTTCCAACAACCAGTTTTATTTAACAAGTCACCTCTTGTCAAGCTCTTCAACCAGCCTGCTGGGTGTGGGCACGGAGGTCTTTGAGGGAGAGGAGGGCAGGGCTGCTGTTCTCCCTCAGCATTTGGACAGGCCCACCTCCAGAAGACAGAGCCAAGAGGTGGCTTCCTGAGACCTGCTCTACAGTCCCTGGGGAGCTGGCACCATAAAACAGTGGGAAAAAAATAGGAAGGTAAAAAGCTTTAGCTATGGATACCTCAGAACTGTCTTGGGGTGAGCAACTTCAAGTAACTTGCTCAGAGGTTCATCTCTAACCCATAGGCCTCCATTTGTACCTAAACCCCTGGGTGGTTGGCTCTCAACCTGCTTCATCAACTACCAACTGACTGCTCATTAGTGACCCCACTGCTTCCTTCTAGGTTACCTGCAATCATTCTGTGCCCGGCTGTTCCCTAGGACTCATCTGAAGCTCCCCTCACTGTCCACAAAGGCTTCCCTGGCCAAACAAGCTCACTCTATCCTTATTAAAACCCAGTGTACTTCACCAGTGGGTCTCTGGCACTCAGGACTTGTGAGTGGTCTTGAGCACCCTCATGAAAGGACAGTGCAGGGCTCACAGTGCACACAGCTTGGGTCCAGTCTACATGAGCCATGACGGCCAGGTGACAGATATGTGACATATCCTACCCTGTCCCTGGGACCTGGAACAAGTGCTACAAATAAGAGCCAAGGGCAGTTACCCCAAGACACTCGAGTGGCACATTGACCCCCATTCACCTCTCTCTCCCTCAGCTCCAAGGCTTCCAGCTCCTGCTCGCTCAGTCTGGATCGTCGGTAGATGTCCATGTTTTGCTGTGTGAGAGATTTAACAAACGTAATTCATATCTTCCTAATTTGAGATGTCAGAACATTATTAGTATCTATTGTGCTCCAAGTCAAAGTCCAATTCATTACATTACAACAGGAAAGCCAGAGTTGGGTGTACCTGGAGCTGCCACGCTCCTTTCTACTCACAATCTGGAACGGACTATACTGAGGAGCAGCCTTCTAAGAGGCAATCACTTAACGCAGGTATTTACTGAACCCTCACTACCATCAGGGCACCCACAGCATCTTGTTGTCTCCCCTCCCTACGTCAGATCAGCTCAGAGAAGCATGGCCACCTTGTGGAGGTCTGAGAGCTGCTGGTGCCTGACCAGGGCGTCTTTGTTTGGGAACTGGCGCCGGCAGAGCAGGCAGGCCATCTTCTTCCAGTCGGCCAGCTTTTCTTCTTCACTCTCAAGTCTCTCCACCAGCTCCTCTTCGTTGTCACTGTCACCACTGTAAGCAGCAACCAGCCCCCTCTAGAGACGAGAGGAAGGTGGGTCATTGGAAATGTACAACAAAGAAACAGCAATGGCTAAAGTAACGCCTAATCCAAGCTGTGAGAGAATGCCCATTACCCATACGTCACACATTAGTGAGAGAGCTAGGTCTTCCGGTGCTGGGCCCGACAGCCTCCCACCAACAACCCTCTTGGGAACCAAGAAGACTTCCTGGATGGCTTTTCTCAAACTACTGACCATGTCTGAAAACCCCAAATACAACAGATCAGAGTAATAACCCACTCAGGTAAGTATCTACCAAGTAAAACACGCTTTTTTGGTCTTAATTTTCTCTTTCCAGACTGTTAAAACTCACTATTTACAAATGAAATAAAACTCAACTAACTGAGCTCAGGAATCTGGGCTTTATTCTCTGTTCCGTCTCACTTGCTCTCACAAAGCCCTGAATATAGATTCTGTGTGCATAAGCTGCTTCAGATACCCACTGACAGGGACACATCCGTTTTAAGCAGGAATGAGATTAGCCAGATGCTTAGCTCAGGTGGTAAAGCATCTGCCTGCAATGCAGGAGACCCAGGTTTGATCCCTGGGTCAGAAGATTCTCTGGAGAAGGGATGGCAATCTATTCCAGTATTCTTGCCTGGAGAGTTCCACGGACAGACCATGGGGTTACACATAGTTGGACATGACCAAGTGACTAACACTTTGACATTAGCCAAGATACAGATCAGACTGAGACACAAAGCAGACACAGCCCTCAAACACTGGTTTAAAGCCGGTGCCTCCTTACTTTGAGGGGGTTCTCCTCATCTCCATTTCGCACCAATTCGGGGATGAGCTGTTGCCTTTCTGCTAAGGCTCCCTGGGAAACAGAGAACAAGTCATAAGCCTCAAGTTTTACCTAAGCTGCCCTCAGGAAGTAAGGTCATCCTTGTTACTGTTACCTTCTTCTCAAAGAGAGCAAAGCCAGCATCTGCGGCAGCAGATTCTCTCCTTTCTTCTTCCCTCAAAGAATTAACAGGTTGAAAGCTGTTTTTAAAATTTTCTTTCTGCTTGTTTAAACTCTTAGCCCAGCGTTCCATGTCTTTGGCAATCTAAAGTCAAACAACAATCACAGAGATTTAGGTAGAGGAATTTAGCAAACAGTCTATGCCAAGACAACAAGCCATTATTGTAACAAACTGTAACAAAATCCCTTTTGCCCTTATCTTTTATGAGATACTGCATACTACACCAAAGTCATTAACGAATATTGTTCCAAAGTCTGTGAGTCTTTCAGACAACTGACAGATAACAAAGAATGACACTAGAAAACTGCACAATGCTCTAGGAACTTAGGGCTTCCCCTGTGGTTCAGATGGTAAAGAAATCTGCCTGCAATGCAGGAGATCCAGATTTGATCCCTGGGTGGGGAAGATCCCCTGGAGAAGGGAATGACTAGCCACTCCAGTTTCTTGCCTGGAGAATTCCACAGACAGAGAAGCCTGGCACGCTATGGTCCATGCAGTTGCAAAAGAGTTGGACATGACTGAGTGACTAACTAGACTATGAGCTTAATGTAAATAAGATGTATGACCCAGTTTTTAAGAATCCAAATAAAGCTAAATGCCACAGCCCCACCCCACCCCTCGATTAAAAAAAAAAACAAAAACAGAGAGAAATGGGTCTGCTGGTTGGGTCGTGATCTTACCTGCTGGGCTGTTTTGCTCTTGGGTTTCTCCTTCTTTTCCTTTCCCTCTTTTGCAGGAGGCAGGCCTGTCTGCTGGTGGGAATTAGATTCTGCAGCCAGCACGTAAGTCTCCTTCTCTCCATCCCAGTACAGGTACTGCTGGGTTAAGGAATTGTAGTAGTACTAGAATAAAAAACACAATTAATGCAGACTTTCTCCTGGGTCAAACCACTAACCTAAAGGCGTGTTTTTACTCCTTTACATCTACATTACTTTGTCAAAAAAATTAAACATAAAAACATAAAGCCTGTTGCAGACCAGTAATATTTCCTGGGCAGAGAGGAGGTGCTATACACCTTGGTGTAGGTGAGGGTGATGAACCAGCTGGCCAAGAGGTGTGAAACTTCTTGGGTGAGTAGAATGTGGTTTCGAGAGTCTCGAGTTTCCATTAATTAATCCCTGGGCCCGGAGGGTACCCAAAGAGCAATAAGTCCGACTCCTTTCCACAGACAGACCATTTACACAAACCAGGTGGCCAGAGCAAGTGGTTCAGAAGGAGCTTTTTCTCACATGTCCTCCATGACAATCAGTTAACATCTCATTGTTAGGTTCAACCATACAGAACCTTGCCTGTTCTGTTTGGACACCTGGGCAACCAAACAGGGTTGTAAAACACCAGCTTGGGAACCCAGAAAGAGGTGACAGGTGAAGGAACCTGATCTGAAGTGTGTGGGGAGAACGACAACAGAGAATGGGTAGCAGCTATCTCTCCTCTTCTCTGTTCTCCAATCGCTTACTCTACCTGCTCAATAGGGGCTCAGGAGAGACTGCCTTTTGTATCTCTTCCAGGGGAGGCGGTGCATGTCAGACACAGGAGCCACAACTTTTATGGCCACCAAGAAGAATGGCCTGGGAAATGGCCAGACTCCACAAGAGCAGTGGAAGAAACATGTACAGGCCCAGCCCGCTTGGCAGGTCCCACACAGCTTCACACCTGACTCTCAGAAACCACAAGCTCTCAATGCCAAGTTCCTGTTAAAAGCACTTATTTTTACTATTCTATATACACACACAGCTTCTGGTCATAAACTGTTGCTTATTTATGGAGTGTTAATGTTGCCTTTCCTCTTTAAAAAGTTCTATACACTGCCAAAAATAAAATATCCACTCCACAGATCTGCTCATTTTTACTCTCAAAAATACTAAGTAAAAAAAGAGCTGTACACAAAAGGTCACATATTGTTTGATTCCATTTATACAAAATGTCTAGAACAGGCAAACCCAGAGAGACAGAAAGCAGTAGTAGTTGCTGGGGTGGGAAGGAATTAGGAAGTAACCACTTAATATATAGGCTATAGGGTTTCTTTCCGGATTGATGAAAATGTTCATCAACATTAGATGATAGGCGCTCAACAATGACTACACTAAAAATCTATTGAACTGAACACTCTAAATGGCTGAAATGTGAATTTTCTCTCAGCTGAAAAAAATCACAATTTAAAATTTGTATATAGGTGTCTACAGGAAGATTAACAGTCACCTGAAAATTTTAATGTGACAAAACAATCCATGGTAATAGGAGAAAGAACAGTGCTTGGGGCAGGGGAGGTGGTACCGAACAACAAGAGGCACCAGAGAATGTTTAGCATGCTAGGAGTGTTCTTGCTCTTATCGTGGTGCTGGTAAATGAACAAATGTATAGACATGTAAATAAACATTCAAAGAACTGCAAGAACTCCCAGTGTCACTTTCATGAATTTTTCAGTAAGTACATTACACCTCAAAACGTCTGTTTTACCCCTTAAATTACCTGCGAGTTGGGGTCATAGTACAGCCCTGTTGTTGGATCATAGTAATATCCTGAAGATTCATCATACTGATACGTGGATGTGTCAGGCACTGCTGCAAAAACAAAACCCAGCACACAATCATTCCAGGGTAGAGACTGGCTTTACTTCCAATTCTAAGCCACTGAGATGCAGCAGGTCGTCTTCTCTCACATCCCCACGTGTCCCGCTGACACCCACAAAGGGAGAGGAGTGCTTATTAAACAAAATCAACAACTAGGACCTTCCAACTGTCAACAGCCCCATGAGGTTTGGCTTACCATATTTGGTACCAGGAACTACACCAGTAGGGGAAGCGGCTGGGGCCTGTGTACTTGTGCTAGTGCTAGGCTGTGCTTCCTCAGTCTGGAAAGAACAGCAGCTTCAATATAGTTTCAACTGTAAAGCCTCTCAAGAGAACTAAATCACTGCAATCATCCAGCAGGAAGGGCCCCCTGACAGACCCACGGTAACAATGGTCTAGGGCAATCCTTCAGCAAAACACAGGCTGACAACTGTCTTCCTAAAGGTCAAGTCGAAGCATGCATAGTATAAATAGACCCTGTGTGGAATCTTGCATTTAAAATACAGACACAAAATTATTTCAGTACATAATACTATTAGACAGAAAGAAGTAAGGTTGGAATGTGTGTGCATTACTCAATCCTGGCTTACACAGTGAGAAAAGACAGTACTTGTACAGCAACCGTTTCCCCAACAATCACCAGTTCTATATCTAAGATGACAGGATTACCGGAGAGCCGGGTGGGTTGGAGGTCTGATTATACAGCTGGGGACTCTGGGATACGACAGCCGCTGAGGTGGTGGTCACCGCTGTGCCTGATGATAAACACTGGAGTTACAAGAGCCAAGGCACTGAACTCTAAACCAAACGTCCTTACCTGGAATGCCCAATCTAGAGTCTGTCTTTGTATATGTCAGTTTTTAACCACCTAATTCCCAGTAAGTACTCTTTAACCTATGATATTGTCATTTTTATAATCCTACTAGAATGTGATACACAAAGTCAAATATTCTGTATGATGGCTAAGAGGGGAAGAAAGTTTCCACATCTGCTCTGGGGTTGAAAATAAATTTTAACTGCCATACCTTTGTAATTCTGGAACAAAAACTAGAGCAATAGCTTTTAAGAGTGACCTTTCTGATTGATGTCTGGACCTAAGACTGTTCACCTGAACTTACATGGGCACCCACAATTCCAAACAGCAGAGAGGGAAAATACTGAATTCAATTCCAAGAATGAACGCTCATTATGGCATAGTTTCTAGGAGCTTTGTATCAGCTCCTGATGTGCACAAGTGTTAGTTGCTCAGTCCTGTCCAAATTTTGTGACCGCATGGACTCGAGACCATCAGGCTCCTCTGTCCGTGGAATTCTCCAGGCAAGAATGCTGGAGTTGAGAAGCCATTCCCTTCTCCAGGGAATCTTCTGACACAGGGATCAAACCTGTGTCTTCTGCATTGCAGGTGGATTCTTACCATCTGAGCCACAAGGGAAGCCCATTGTACAAGCAATCCCAATATCCCCACAGAAGCTTAGGCCCATGGTGACAACCCTGAATGTGCCCAATCCACCCAGTCTTATAGGGAAATGGCTCTCCTAGATTGATTTGGATTTAATGAGAACATCTAGCTGTATGTCCTTAACTGTATTTGCTTAAACAGGAGATAAAAGAATATGAAGTCTATTACCTGATGCAGATGATGCATCGGATTCTAATCCTCCAGCTTGTTGCTGATAAAACTGTTGGTAATCCTGTGAGTACTGAAGAAGAGTCCACCGTTAAAGCTGCCATTCTTGGACATACTCTGGAGACCAGAAGTCAGATAATGGTCCAATCTACCCACCTGAGCATACTGGGCATAGCCATCTTGGCCTGGCTGCAGGTAACTGTAGTCCACACTGCCTCCTTCGCCACTCTGAGACTACAATGTCAAAAGAAGAGGAAACACAGACAAACTTAGTGGACACTGAGGTCTTCAAATGTCCTTGGAGAGCTTCTAAGGCAAGCACAATCACAGAGCTGACTTCTGTGAATCTGGGCACCACCACCACCACCACACTACTTGGAACAAAAAGATCCTCCCCTCTACCTGGGTGGATGACCACTGAGCAGCAGCAATGGCTGTACTAGCCACGGAGAAGGCGCTGACCCTGTTACCATCTGGGAGGACCAAGTCTCTGAAACCACAAAAATTCAACCATGTGATTTTATATCAGTAAGCTTCCCATCACTTAACCCCACGCCACCTAGAAAACAGTAATTCACTCCAGACTTTACTGGAAGGTCTCCAATGCCAGCAACACATTTCAGAGTGAGGAAGTGTTTCCACGGGCAAAGCCCTAAGTGGGCATGTATCCCTGCAGTATCGCTGCTCTCTTTTGTACTCTTCTATTTAATAAGGTGTCTACTTGATGAGTAATGATACTAGAAATGGGAAATTTACATCACTAGAATGAAGCTCTACATACATGAAGCTTTGTATTAGCATGCTATTGTGGAAGGAAAGAATTATTTCCAGATGGCTTTGCACCATTCTGAAGCAGTTTGCATAGCACATATTCTCAACCCATCTACTAAGTCTGTCTTGTCCTGCTCTCAAGCCTTCTGGCAACTGGTTATTGAGGACAGGAGGGAATAAGGGCTAAGAAGACAAGTGTATCCTTCCCAGCCAATCAGGAAGGATAGCACCTCAGTGCAGAGAACATGGGCTTTGAGCGCAGTTAGCAGCGCATTCGTGGACAAGCATGCAGATGCAGTGGTTTGAAGTAAGGGCAATGAAGCAACTCACTTTCTGGCACTTTTTGCAAAATCAACCCCAATAGTTTTGCCATCTATTTTCAAAGGAGGATGGAGACTCTGTAGTATCTGCAGCAGCTGAGAAGCATCCTGCAGGAGAATGTGAAGAAAAACAATTTTGTCATTTTTGTCACGTAACTGAAAATCTCTACCACCTATCCTAGTCGAAGAAATATTAAAAAAAAAAAAGAATAGCAATTCATTATTATCTGTGGATATGAAATCATGAGAAATAAAAAAGCCCTCTTTCAAGGTATCTAGTATTATTAAAGGAGTCAGTGCTTAGGTCAATTGAAAAGCATGAAAAAAGACTAAACTGTGGCTCAGACTTCAGTTCAGCAGGTTATCTACAGGTATACCAATGGTATTTTTACCACTTACTATAGCCATCAGCCTATAATTTAGCACTGCAATAACTGTCATTACTTAAGTCTTGAACTTTGGACTCCAAGAGCATTAGACGTAGTATCACAACTGGATGAACCACGCCTCTCATTTCAGTTTCTTTAAAAAGAAAAGATCCAATGAACATCTCACCATTGCAGAAGACAGCTGCACAAACGCGAAGCCTCTGTTCTGCTGGGTCTGTTTGTCTTTTATGAGGCGAATGTTATTGACAGCTAAGGACGCATAGGGAGACAGTGCTGTCATGATGGAATCTACCACAGTGTGTGGAGCTATGTTTCGAAGTATGATCGCTGCAGGTAAACGAGACAGAGACATGAATTTCTACCACCAATGCCTTTCAAAGCAGATTCAAGTACAAACAAATCCATTTTGGGAGGTTTCCCGTATATTTGACCTTTGAATGCAGGGGGATGAGGGGGTGCTGGCCCCACTCCCACCACGCAACAGAACATCTGTGTCTAACTTTACAGCCAGCCCTCTGTACTGGTAGTTCCACATCCCCAGATTCAGCCAGTAAATAGCGTAGTACTGTGTGTGCTTAGCTGCTTCAGTCAGATCTAACTCTCTGCGACCCCATGGACTGTAGCCCACCAGGCTCCTCAATCCATGGGGATTCTCCAGGCAAGAATACTGGAGTGGGTTGCCATGCCCTCCTCCAGGGGGTCTTCCCAACCCAAGGACTGAACCCAGGACTCCCACACTGCAGGTGGATTCTTTACTGTCTGAGCCACCAGAGAAGCCCAGTGTAGTATTGTAGCATTCATTTAAAAAAAAAAAGAGAAAGAAAATCAGCGTAAATGCACATGGTTCAAACCCATGTTGTTTTAAGTGTCAACTGCATATATCTTTCCCTTTGATGTTGAAAAGAAATCCAAAAATCAGTCTTTAATGAGACAATCTGAAGCCACTGACTGCTCCTCATTAAAATAAGAGCAGGAGAACTAAAACATCCAACGGAGGTCAGTTTCCAACATAACTGTCAAAAGATTACACTTGCACTTACTATCACAATAGTAATCAACAGACTGAACTGATTCTGTGGTTCCAGGGGGCACTTCCTGTTCAGAGTCTACAAGAAAGGAAAGAAAAGAGGAAGAATCAGTAATTGAAGACATACAACAAACCAACACAAGAAATACATTCATATACCAAAGTTTTAAGTAAACGTAGCTGTTTTCTTTTTTAACAATTTGTGGCTACAGTAAAACCTCATTAATTTTGACATTAATTTTAAATGTGGAATGCAAAAACTAGGCCACTGGAGGACTTCACCTCTGTAGTAAAGAAAAGCGATACAGAATGCAAAGCAGGAAGACTGACTTAATTTTGAAAAATAAAAGAACTCTTTGTATTCTTGCACTCAACAACAGGATCTACTAAATCTAAGGCAGGAGGTTTAAAGAAAATAACTACCTAACCTAAGGTAGAAGGTTTAAGGAAAATATATACATTATTGCTTAAACGCCCCATGGTCTGTACTTTTCCTTAGGTTCACAGACAACCCAATTAGTCAAGTTTCAATACATATTCCCAAACAGCCAAATCTGGGCTTACCAAACTTGTCTGCTCCACATCGGAAGCATTTTAGTCTTTTCCTGAAATTGTTAAGGCAGCACTGGAAAAAAAAAAGTTTTATCTGTAATTCTATCTCATGGTAGGCCAGGTTTACTAGTAACAAAGTGGGTTAGAACAAGAGGGTCACGGGCAAGTCCCAGTGAGGAGCAATAAAAGCAGAAGGTGATCCCACGCATTGAAGACAAAGGAGCATTAACGTAAAAATCTCACTATGTGAATGACCCCCAGAAAAATACATTCTGACATATTTTGAAGTAGAATTCCATTTTTCTCAAGTTGGGGAAAAGTTTCAGTTCACCCCAAAACCCTGCAGCAAGCCACTGGCAAAGTTCTCCCTTATGTCAGAAAAGCACTCTATAGACCACTCTATATACACAAATACCACTGTGAATGAAATACTGTCTAGAGTCCTGCTGGACATGTGACACCAAGTACTCTCAAAATGTCAACAGCAACACCTACTTTGTGACTTTGGTGACATTTTGCCCACTTAGGGTTTTGCCCATGGATACCCTTCCTCACTCATAATAGACCTTATATAACTCCTTTATATAACTCAAGCAGGGCCACAAAGGGTTTTGTTAACAAAGAGATTGCCAAAAGATGAGAGCGCTAAAATTGAAGAAACCATAAAGTAAAACAAACTTAAAATCTTAATTGAAACACTGGGCTTAGAATCTGGTTCTTAAAATCTCTCATGTTTGAGGGAGTCTGTCCTCTAATACCTACTCAGGAGGACCCAAGAAAGTCAAAAAGTATGAAAATCACCTCATGATAAAAGCTGGTGATCACGTATTTTACCCATTTTCTTGTTTGGATAGTCAAACAAATAGAAAACAAAAAACCCCAAGAGTTTGGTTTGTCTGGGAAGAACACGTGCTTACCTTGTTACAAAGCCAATCTTCAAACTTAGGTCTGGGATTGCTATAATGCATTGCAATATGCTTTCCTTGAATCACCAGCTTTTTCTGTAAAAAAAAGAAGTAATTAGTTATTCCCATTGTGAGGAACATGTGTCCATTTTCCCAGGGCAGAGCACACTTCGGAAAAATCAGTGCTCTGGAATTAAATGGACAACATACGGGGAGGACCAACCACCGCCACCTATACTCTGCCCATCCAATCCTTCAGATAGGCAGTAAGAGAATGGGATGCGGAGTAAAGGTAAACGGAGTCAGGGAGTGCTGAGAAAGCTGACACACGCTATAAACGCTGACATGCACCAGGCCGTGTCTCCAGCAGAGACAGAAGTCCTAACATTCAGCATTGACAGGCTGCCTGAGAGGTGACAGTCTAGTTCAAAGAGCAGAAGACACAACTCTCCCAGTTCTGAGGTTGTCTCCTACTTTAGCCCTTAGCGTGGTGTCCTCGGGCTTCGCTTCACTTTTCCCCCAGTCCCACATCCTTATGCAAAGTGAAAGCCTTGACATTTCCCCTTCACCCAAATTCCTGCTTCAGGATGTGTCCTTTGGGGACAATGAGAGGGAAACCCATTTTTAAAGGGAAGCTGGTGACAATTTTCTCAGGAGACACTAGTCTGAATGCCATCGATTCTAAAAACAGCTAAATGAGGTTTCTTCCTGCCAAGTGTAATCACGTGATGTCCTGAGTGACAGATGTGTTTTTCACTGAAATAAGATGGTACTCTCTTCAAGATGAGTAACCAGGAGGCCAATGAAGTTTCTTCAGGGGGTTAGGAAAAGTGTGTAAGTGTTCATATACCACCTCATCCTTCTAGTCAAATGTGTGACTACAAGGGATTTTATTTTCAAAGGTGAAAATTCCAAGCTGAATCAGTTTACCAAGAGCACACCCAGCATCTGCCCCCAAAGAGCCTTCATTTAACAGGAACACCTTTTCTGTTTTTTTCTGGGGGGAGGGAAAGGGAGCGGGGTGTTCTGACACCGTCAGAAGGGATTTAAGTAGGAGGTTAGATATCCAAACTTTTTAAAGGAGTCTAACCCCTCCAAACATACATACTGTTGAGTAATTTGGTTCTTGCAAATCCTGGAAGAGTTAAGACATGCTGTGAATGTTGTCTCTGCAATATCTAAAGGCAAGACTGCATGTCTGGCCAAGAGGGAAAGAGCTGAAGGTCATCCACTCACTGTGTTGTATAGAAGCAAAAATAAAGAAGCTGGGAGATAAGTCAACAGATCATCCCACTAGGAGGGATGTGCTGGTTTGGGGAGACTCCAAACTATCACTGAGTCCCTAATCCTACTGGCCTTTCATTTCTGGAGTGAATTTGAACTGTAATGAAATAGTTACACATTAACACAGCTTTGTATACATTAAAATTGTGCCGCTTTTAAGTGTCTTTCAGGTTTTAATTTCCCAGGAGTTTTTTAAACTCCCAAGTCATTCTGATACATCCACTATATTAATATGATGCTTTAAAAAGATGCTGTTGTGTAAAGAAAGCAGGTTCACCTGAAGCTTGTGTATGTCCTGAATTTTACTAGGATGGTGTCCATGGTATGAAATGAATTAAGATCTACCATTAAAAGATCAGGTTGTCACCTCTGGGTTAAGGATGTGAGAGGCTTAAAAACCTAACAAGTCAATCAAAATGATATCCTCATTAGTGAGTTTCATTATTAATGATATTAAGTTTCCAAAGAATTAACTCTTATTTATGAGTGACAAATCATAAAATGCTGCAGAGAAGCAACATAATGAGTTAAGCAAACTTCCCAGAATGCACCTGGTTAAGGCATTCAATACTGTGCTTTGGAGTTCTGGCAAAAAATGTTATTTATGTGCCAAGCACTAAACATTATCTTGACAAACTGTAGAACACTTCAGTTAATGCCACATCAAAGAAATCATCAAAGATTTGCTTTGAACAGACTGTAAGAGGCATTCTCAGGGAGATTAGGATGTTAATGCCACTCTAACTAGATTAGACAGCAGCAGGACACCAGCTCTTAGGCTAATCTCATCAGACTTACTGTTCATAAATTCTACTAGATCCTTAAATAGTTCTTGAAGACCCATATGAGCAGTTATGCCTCTAGGAGGCTTGAGGTCTCCAAGTTGAAATAATTACTTACAAAATTCCTACAGCAGACTTCAATTATATTCTATTAATTGTCAAATTGAGAGTTGGATAATCTAAGATGACTCTCAAAGGACATAATAAACAGGAATATAATCAGGGGAGGAAAGGGGGAATATTCAAGATGTTCTGATAACTACCAGACAAATATTCAGTGGTTAACAAGGCCATGTCAGGCAGCCATGTTTAAAGGCAGAGCAAATTCTGCAGTGTAATATGTGGTACTGTATTTATTCCAGTAACATCAATTTTAATATATACAAAGCCTTTTTTTTTTTAAAGTCACTCCTTTGGAACAAACCACTCCTTCAACCTTTTTTTTTTTTAATTGTACAGACTTGTTCCATTTTCATGAATATCTAGACTTGGTGAGTGAAGCAACCTGATTGGCTTCCATCCAGCTGGTAGCATCTTGCAAGTGATAAAACTCCACGAAGGCGAAACCACGGCTTACACCTAGAGACAGCATTCAGATATAGACGGGATACTCGTGTTAGTCAGTTCCTTTATAACAGGTGAATCTCTCTCCCACTGCTTCAACACTGCGTGACAAAGCCAATTGGGAAGCAGCTTTACAAATGTGACTTGACTTGGGGATCTTCTTGATACTTTGCCATGGCAAGGAACCAAGCCGCCTGAACTAAATGCCACTCGATTTGATTCCACGCTTAAAAAGTAACCATGCAACCGATTACAAACAGTCAAACAAGGAGTTTATACATCACTACTTACCGAAGGGAAAAAAAAGCCCCTAAAAACAAAGTTTTTAAAAAGGTCCTCGGATGCTTTCTAACATCGTTTTCAAAGAGTCACATTCCTTAGCCATGGCAAACCTTTCATTCTGAATTCATGTGCTTGAAGACTGGGGAATATCAGGATGTTCTTTAGGGACTGAGGTGCGAATGGGGAAGAGAACCAGAACAGCAGGAACTAAGCAAGCTCTCACCTGTTTTCCTTTTCATCAGCCTCACGTCCGCAGGCTGAGGGCCTTCAAAGGATTCCATCATTTCTCGAATCTGCACAGGGTTTTACACATTTACTGTTAAAGCTTTAGCCACAAACCATTCCACACTAAAGAGAGTTCAAAGACTAGGGATTACATCAACTTAAGCTTATGTTACTTAAGCTTAATTGGCCAAGCTTTTAAATTTCTATCATCAAAATGCAATTAGTCTAAAAATAGAATAAAAGAAGGGATGCTTCTCATAGAAACTGATGTACTATAATAGCTCTGAAAGCCTTCTTTACCTGCTGATGGGGGATTTCCTCAAGTACAGCTACCTGATATTGTGAGACACAGCCTTGCTTGTGGTGTGCTGACCCTCAAGCCTCCACCTGCCCCCCAGGCTAATCTTGTCCTTTGTTCTAAAGGACCAGAGAAGAGAAAAAGATTTAAAAGAGGCAGATGATACGTCATCATGCTCTGAAGTAGAGTAAGTAGAGTCTCTGAAGGAGACTAAGAAATCAATAGCCCCAAAACAAGGAACTCCCTTAAGATAAACATTTTTTGCACAATGTCTTAAAGAAATGTTTCCTTACATTTACATAAAAAAAAAAAAACGCTTGTAATATTCTTAGGCTCTTAGTAAATCAGAGTGAACATGAATTGGGCCTGAAGAAAGACTTTTGGCTGCTAAGCTTATTACTGATTTCAGATCAAACCTTCACTGCAAAAGGCAAAATACATTAAAAAAGACATCAGTCTCTTCAGCAATCAAACCAGGCAGCAATACTCTCAGGAAAAACACCAGGGACAAATTTGTGAGAGACTCTTAGTGGCTTCCCCATTTCATTATTACATGTAAAGGTTGCAGGATTATATTATTTGGGGTGGATGTGCCTACTAATTAAAATTCATTATACTCCAAATGAATACTACTAGCGCTTTCAAGGTCATTTGCAGACATGAGAAGAGTAGTAAAAAATTTGAGGTGCCTGACGTACATGTTCCTCGCAGAGGTTACGCTATGTTTTGTTTCAGCTTTCATATTATAAACAGATGTCCTTCTACTAGTTTATTTAGTGGCAGGTATTTCACATTTTTGTACTTTTTGTTGGCGATTTCACTGTTTAAAATGGCTCTCCAAAAAAATAAAATAAAACGGCTCTCCGGGTGTAATGCTGAAGTGCCATCTAGTGTTTCTAATGCAAGAAGGAAGGCTGTGATGCACTTCACAGAGAAGATATGTTAGAAAAGCTTCCTTCAGACCTGAGTTACAGTGCTGTTGGCTGTGAGTTCAATGCTAATGAATCAAAGTATATATTAAATAAGGCACTTTTAAACAGAAATATCCACAAAATAAGGCTATATATTGATCTGTTAATGAAAATGTTGTGACCAGGGGCTTACAGGAATCTAAGTTTGTATTTCCCCTAACAGCGTAAGTCAATACTCCTAGTGGCTTTGGAGACTACCACAAATAGACAGTATGTAGAAGCGTTAGTTACATCAAGCCAGACCCAATCACCTGACTCAACTTCATGCTTGGTAACATAGTTACTGAAAACTTAGTTACCAGAGTAACTAAAGACAAACTCTATGAATACAGTGATACAGTAACACACACAGTAACATAATTGACTAAATGTAGTTACTCTAGGAGTTCACATGTCAGTGAGGGGATTAAAAAAAATGATGAAAGTGATAAACTGAAGTTCAAGAGAATACTATAATTTTAAAATGCTTTTAAAGATCCCAATATGAGGAGGCTTCCCTCATAGCTCAGTTGGTAAAGAATCTGCCTGCAATGCAGGAGACCATGGTTGGATTCCTGGGTCGGGAAGATCCTCTGGAGAAAGAAATGGCAACCCACTCCAGTATTCTCACCTGGAGAATCCCATGGACAGAGGAGCCTGGCAGGCTACAGTCCACGGGATCACAGGAGTCAGACACAACTTTGCAACTAAACCACCACCAAAGAGCCCAATAAGCAAATTTCCCACAAATATTGCACAAATTTGGGGAATCTCAGAAAGTTTACTTGGAAAAACCTGCCTTCTTATGGTAAGCACTTCTAGTTCCCCGAGAAGCCTGAAATAAACAAGCATAACAATCTTATTTCATTATCAGAAGATAGGGCCCCCAGGGTCACCTAGGGCACTGCTCTCCCCGTTGCCACCCACTTCTGCAGACTTCAAGGGCCACAGGCTTAACAGACTCAAGGGAACAACATGATCAACAAGTAAACTTTCCTCAACTGACTCCTGCAGGATTTCTTCTACCCCCTACTCTACATGCCCATAGCTACTGCTACCTGAGCTCAGCTCTGCCTTCCTTCCAGCCCCTGCCACTCCCTGATTCTATCATTCAAACCTGCACAGCTTGTTACCAGGCAGAAACTTCAGCAGCTTTTTTTATACTTAGCTGGGCTTTCAAAGATTCCAGCAGTGGCCCCCAAATACGCTTTTCTCCTGCCAAACGTCTTTGATTTTAGTCAAATTAAGCTAGTTAGGGCCAGTCCACACCTTATCCTCAGTTCTCCACCAGATCAAAAGATTTTCTATCCCTCAAGAATGAGCTCAACTAACAGCTCCCTGGAGCTCTTCCTTACCCTCTATCAGTCAACACAGCTCCCTTAAAGAAGCCTCGAGTTACTACTCCACAGAACTACTTTCAACAAGACCTCTTCTGACACTTATCCCTTTCTACTCTGCACTGTCTTCATTATCTGTTGACTTTAGCTATCATCCTTAAGCATTTCTGAGGCAGGATCCATGGTTCTGCAGTGTAACAGTACACAGTGGAGCAAGTGTGCTTTGGAACACAAATAAATACCCACTATTAACTCAAACATCCCATCTCACATTCTGTCACTCCCAGTGTTTTAGAAGACCAAGGCCGTGTGAACTCAATACAGCTCTAAAATTCATAGTCAGACTATTACCTTGAATACCCCAAGGCAACAGATACTGGCATAATACTGTGCATTTATACGGTTTATTAAATATACTTCAAAACATCACATTCATTTTACAGACATTGGCTGAGCAGCCTCCTGAGTTCAAGGGTTGGGGATACACATAAGAAATTCTGCCTGGAGATGCCCCTGGTGGTCCAGTGGTTAAGAATTCACCTTCCAATTCGGGGGACGTGGGTTTGATCCCTGGTCTGGGAATTAAGATCCCATATGCTGCAAAGCAGCTAAGCCCATGTCCACAACTAGACAGGTTAAGACTCTGTGCTTCCAACCCAGGGGGCATAGGTTCCATCCCTGGTTGGGGAACTAAATGCCCACACAGCACGGCAAAAAAAAAAGGGGGGGTGGTGGCACGGGGGCACATTGGTAGAACAATGGACATATCCAAAGTCGCCTGCAGCAGATGCCAAATGGTGGTTGGGGCTGGAAGGAATGGGTGAAGGCCAGAGATACCACTGGAAACCAGGCAGTGCCCAGTACACCAAAGCCATAGTTGACCAGTCTGAGAAGTGGGAAGCCAGGCTTGTCAAAAGGCTTTCCAGAAATTTCAAATGGAGAATACAATTTCCATCAAATCAAATGATGCTGGATTATTAAAATGTTCTTATGGATATAATCTCAGTGAATAAGTGATCAATTCAACAAAAATGTAGTGACAACCTTCTAAAAGCTATTACTGAAAGAATAAAAACTGCTCCCTGTAGTTCTGAAAACTGTATATTGAGCTTCAAAGTCTAAATACAGAGACTATCTATGAGCTAGGTTGAGAGAACTTCACCCTAATTATAGAAAAGTACTTCACTAGATATAAGCTTGAGCTAAAAAGAACACAGGAAAATAATGGTTAAAAAAAAAAAAGAAAATAATGGTAGAAGCTCAGAATCTGTTGGGCCTACTGACAGCTCAATAGAACAGTTGGTCCCCCTTACATCGCTCTCCGTGATGGTGATGGGAAGGCCGCGAAGCATGATGGTCTTGCTCTCCCTCTCGTCACTGATGTCATGCCTATAGTCATGTTCACCGTAGTCACCATCAGAATGGTAGCCGTCTTCGGATCGGTCACTGTTCCTTCTTTCACGTTCTCTCTGATTTACAATGAACAAAATTGCAATTCAAATCACACTGGGCTTTTTATCCTCTTTGATCCACTCCCTCCACTCCTAATAATTCATCTTTAGGGACAGAGATAATACAATAATTCCACGACGAAGTTCACCATAGTGTCTTCTAAAATAGCAAAAAACAAAAACCCCCAAACCTGGCAACAATCATTTAATTTCAGGAAGAATGGTTAACAACTCACTGAACAGTATATCAACACGTAAACAGTATTACTAGTTAAAATAAGATGATTATATGCATAAAAAAAGAAAAAAAGTGCTAAATTATATGGGCAGCACAATATTACTTCTAAACAAAGTTGATGCATATGGAAAGAAATGTGAAAAAAAGCTATGCTATAATATTAAACTTCAACTTTCAGAAACTATCTGAGGCCAAGGGATGGTACATAATTATGCCCCGACTGACTCATCTTTAAAATGGGTACAGTAACTACATTATGTGGTTGTAGTGAGATTTGAATGAGTTCATCTAAGTCATGTGCTCAAAAGAGTGCCTGGTGAGCCCTAGGTAAACCCTGGCCAATAATTCTGACTACAAGGCTCAGTCTGTCTTTGAGAGTTATAGCTGACTAAACAGATTTCAGAATACTAAAGTGTTTGAATAGAACACTCCACCTGAGAGATTCCCACACTTGGTATATTTATTTCATAGTTCTAACAACTCCATAAATAGTTGCTGGTCACTCACCTCTGGACTGTCATAGTCTCGGTAGTCGTCATATCTATCACCCCTCCGATCATCACTAGATCTTTTGTAATCTGAGTCCCTCCGCCTGCTTCTGGATTCACGCTCATCACGGTCATCCCTGTCTATGATGGAACCGTATCTTCCACTGCGCTCCGTTCTACTCACTCTGCCAGGGAAGAAAATTTTCCTTTATTCTTAAGTATATCACATTTTTTCCCTTTAAAAAACACGGTTGAAAAAAATTTCAATCCGTATTTTGGTTTATAAGGTATCCAAATAGTTCAGTGCATCCCTTAAAATTTATCATCAAATAACAACTTATAATTGAGACAATTACAATTCAGAGAGGTTGTCTGTCCATGTTTATCCTGCATTTCCCCAAGCCTGTGATCTACACATCACTCCTTTCTTCCCTGATTTCAGATCTCAGTGATCAATTTAAATAGGAAGACTGCAATTACAGTTGTTCCTGCCAGTGACTGTTTCTAGGCCCACTGCAGATACCAAAACCCATGGATGCTCAAGTCGCACAGTAAGCCCTCTGGTATACCCAGTTCTGCATCTACAGATTCAGTCAACCATGGATCATGTAGTATGGTATTTATTGAAGAAAATCTGCCTGTAAGTGGATCTGCACAATTCAAATCTGTGCTGTTTAAGGGTCAAATGTATTCTCATTTCATTCAGTTTCAAAGGAGAACATCCTGACTCATCCACTCTGAAGCGTATTCTCACTATGGAGAAATGGACCACTGAACTGGATAAGTAGTTTTTCTTTTTTTTCCCCGTTAGGCAGTTAACCAAGTTCAATTGTTATAATAAGCAGCATCATCAGAGAACATTATTTCCTATAACATCTGATTTATTTTTGATTACTGGGCAGCACTGGGCTTTACAGGAAAATCTAATAACAAAAGGCTTAAAGCCATTGGACCACAGATACAGTTCTTTTTTTAAAAATTAATTTATTTAATTGGAGTCTAATTACTTTACAATATTGTAGTGGTTTTTGCCATACATTGACATGAATCAGCCATGGGTGCACATGTGTTCTCCATCCTGAACCCCCCTTCCCCCCTCCCTCCCCATCCCATCCCCCAGGGTCATCCCAGTGCACCAGCCCTGAGCACCCTGTCTCATGCATCAAACCTGGACTGGAGATCTGTTTCACATATGATAATATACATATTTCAATGCTATTCATTCAAATCATCCCACCCCCGCCTTCTCCGACAGAGTCCAACAGACTGTTCTACACATCTGTATCTCTTTACAAACAGTTCTTTGATAAACTGTTTACCAGATTCATAAAACTGTGTAAGGACAAAATAAAGAGAAGTCCTATAAGGGCTTCATTTAGAGTATACAGATTTAATAAAAAGAAGTGAATGAGGACAAATAGTCCAGGGCAATTTCACAATGTAAAGTATGTGAATGAGAGACCCTAAAATGGTAAATGTTTATTTGGAATCAAACAATGACATCATGTAATATGAACATTTCCTGAGTCCCAGTGGGCCATCAGTTTGATCTATCACTGGGACTGGACTCAATATTGAGGAGGCAGCTGGCTGAATAAGCAGAAGTTGTGTGTTTAAATCAAATGGTTTGAAGGGGAGACCCCACAGATGACACAGGAGCCAAATGCTCTCATCTTAATTCTCTGTTAATTCTTTGGCAGTTTTTCTTTCTTCTTTTTTAATGTAACTCATGGTCCAAAGCTTCTCAGCTCTATAATCCGGATCATCTTGTCATGGAGGGGATAATAATGAGAACTGGCCTTCACTGCCTGCCAGGTACTATGCAAAGAGACAGGACAACTTCCTACTTTCTGCCAGAGGCTGTTTATCCACACCAGGAACCTTCATGATCTCCTACTCCACGGAGCCCTTCTTTGCTTAATTCTTTCTTACCCTTCAGGCTTCACCTTAAGAGAATACTTTCTCCAGGAAGCTTTCCCAGCTGTTTCCAAGAAAACACAGGTTCCTAAGTGTTCTAACAGTCCCCTCAACTTCTTTTACCACAGGACAGTTCACACAGTATTTTCATTATCTCATTAAACCACGGGCTTGTGCAACCAAGTATCATGAAAGTGCTCACAGAATGCATGACACAAAACACAGACTCAAATATTAGTATGATAAACAATTTTCAACAAATAGCTCAGTCCCCATTAAAATATTGAGATCAAAGGCACGTACAGTAATAACTTACCGTTTGTCTGAACCCATTGTTCTACTGAAGATCTAGGACACTGCGCCAAAAGGTTCAAATTTGCTTTCTTCTAGGAGACAAGAGAGATCCGTTGCTGCAAATCTAGAAGATCACCTAAGTCAACTGTTTCATAGCTGGGACACCACTGAGACTGGAATTTCTTCAAACCATTAACAGTGATGATCTAAGGTTGAGGGGTGGGGACCGACTGTAAACATTAAAATCAAGCGATGGTTTTATTAACAATGAGCATAGCAGGAAGGCGAGCAGAGTTAAAAATATTAGATTCCATATTCAAACACAAACCCATAAAAGGATGCAAGCAGAAGATTCCTTCCCTGCTCCCACTGTAGGATTACAAAGCAAAAAGGGTACAGCTGCAATCAGCTCCCTGTGTTCTGAATCAAAGCAACTCCAATGGGGTAGTTGGTCCATAAAACATTATCGAAAGTGTCTTTATTAATACAAGGAGCTAAACGAAATTCAAAAATTACTCATGAAAAATTTAAAACCTTTCAGAAAGCCGATACTGGGCTAACTGAAAATCGACTCCGTTTAAAACGCAACGGCAGATCCAAAGCTATATTAGCAAGAGTAAACTTCCGTACGACTTAATTCCAAGGTAACAATAATCACCACAGGTCCCTGAGGCAGCCAGCCTGGCCCCGCTGCGCACTGACGGTGGTAAAACATCACACAGCTAGACGGCCCTCAATGCTTGCGAGGTCTGAGAAACTAGTTACAGCCCTCCCTGGCGCCTGTTCTAGGCAGCCGCTCAACGAACATGTGAATTAATACAGGGAACAGAACCATCAGGGAGGAACAAGGCCCTGGAGAGAATCCCTGCTGCAGCCCCTCACAACGCCTGGGCACTGCCCAGACCCACCTCCGTGGGGAGGCGCGGACGAGATGGCGGCGCCACGGACTGCGCGACCGACTCAGGCGTCCGACTTTCTCTTCCTCGTGCACTTGCGCCTCCCGACCCCCAAGGGGTTCCCAGCCCCAGATCACCCTTCACCGAACAGCTTTCCGGAGAGTTGATTCAGGCGAACCTGCGGAGCTATGGCGGCTAGAGACTGTCAGGGCGCCCCTGAGAAGTATCTGAGGGACAGACAACGACTCCTTGCTCAACTTGGCCTGGGAGTTGGCGACACATCCCGGGAGAGGCACACTCACAGCTCCAAGAGAAGAGGGCCTCGGGCTGGCCGGGAGAACGCTCTCTGAAAGCTGACAGCGCTGGTGGAGAGGAGGGGCGCGGCCCTCCAATGCCTCGGGTAGCCTTTCGAGATCCCGCTGGGGCTGAAGGGCCGCAGCGTGCGGCTGACAGGGAGGCTCTACAGGGCCTGCCACAGCAGAAAGAACCGCCAGTCATTACGGGCGGCCGCCGCACTTACCCCCAGGAAGGACGGAAGTAGCAGCAGCAGCAGTTTATGCCAAGGAATTCCAACAGGGTACGCCCGGTTCACAAAATGGCGCCTCCGCCGACGGCCGTCTCCTACCCACAGTACCTCGCGCCTATCCCCTCCCCCCACCACACGTTTCCTGAGGCGGCCGCCAATCCGCGAAGGTGTCTGGCTGCGCGAGGGCTGCTGGGAACTGTGGTCGCTAGGGCAGCATGTCACTTAACTACGGCCTGTGTCAATTTCCTACGTATTTCCCTTTCTTCAAAACCTCGGCCTTGTCTACCTTTTCCAGATCCGGATTAGACCTTTTATCTTTATTAAGCATAGTAATTATTTGCCTTTGCTCCATGGGCCTTAGTACAGTTTGTTTTCACTGACGTGATGTAAACCAACACATTTAATATGGCTTTAGTAGAAGGAACGTAGGTTGATCACCTTTTGCATTATGGAACGCTAGATTTTATTATTGGGCTGCATGCTTCACAAATATCTATTTCCATGTTCATAAGCTTTTGAGATGACTGTTAAACCCATTTTGCAAGTAAGAAAATTGACGTTTCTGGTAATTCAGAGGATTCTTAAAGGCAGGCTTCAGAATATTATCTTATTGATAATCTTCAGTCTAAGGCATGGACACGGGAAAGTTAAGTTCCAGGGTTAATAGAACAGTTGAACGGCACCATCGACTCAATAGACATGAGTTTGAGCAAACTCCGGGATATAGTGAAGGCCTGGGAGGCCTGGCATGCTGCAGTCCATGGGATCACAAGAGTCTGAGACAACTGAGCAATTGAACAATTTAATAGTTACTAATCGTCTGTCTAATGTGGTATGCTGTGTTCAGTCATGTGTGACTTTTTGCAACCCCAAGGACTGTAGTCTGCTAGGTTCCTCTGGATTTTCCAGACAATACTGGAGTGGGTTGCCATCTCTTCTTCCAGGGGATCTTCCTGACCCAGGGATCGAACCCATGCCTACCTGTGTCTCCTGCATTACAGGTGGATTCTTTACCACTGAGCCACTGGGAAGACATCTCAAAATTAACACAGCCTGGGAGCCATCCATGACTTTTTTTCCTTGCACTCAAATCTGTCAGCAAATTCTGTTGACTCGACCTTTAAACAGCTATCTCGAATGCTGTTCTCCTAGTCAAAACCATTATTACTGTCCTTGTTTTAGAGACAGTATGTCACACTAAAAGGTCACACTGTGGGTTCCACACTATAGTGGTGGAACTGGGATTTGAATTAGTAAATTTGGTTTGAGTCCATGCTTTCATCCACTAGAATGTAAACTCCAGAAGGGTGGCGACTTTTCTCTGTTTAGTTCACTACTACATCCTCCAGTGCTTCTGCTGCTGCCAGGCACATAGTATACACTAATAAATATTTGAGTGAACAAATGAATCCATTACCAAAATTAAAAGTGCAACATTTGCAGCAGAAAGAAGCAGAGATGCTTCAGCAATTCGAGAGATATTTGGTCCCTGACTCATCAGTCAAATGGTGGTATACCTATGTATCCAATTAACATAACTTGCCCACTGGCATTCTTTATAGATAGTTTAAGGGAACTGATTTTTAAAGTCACATATACAGATTGAAAAACTAGACCATAACGAGGCAGAGGAAGATATTAGCTATGGAAAACCAAACTTATACTCTGCTCTTTCTGGGTAAGAAGAAATCTTTCAAGAATAAGTAGAAGGATGGCAAAAGAGATTTCAAACCAGAAGCTTCAGATACACTAGGAAATCTTTTTCCTGGAAAAACATGTTTTAACTAAGGCTTATCCTTCAACTTCAAGGACATTAAGTGACTGACACTGGAAACTCTTTGGGTAATTAAAAACAAGGCTCACTTTGGCAGCACATATACTAAAATTGGGACAATAAAGATTAGCATGGCCCTTGCACAAGGATGACACACAAATCTGTGAAGCGTTCCATATTTAAAAGAAGAAAAAAAAAAAACCCAAACACCCCAGGAGAATAGATGGAAAGGTAGAAATCACTGGATTTCAGAATGGATAACTTTTCTTTCTCTCTCTTCTCCTGGCTCTATCTTCCTATCTATCTACCTCCCTACCTGCTTCCCTATCTATTCTCTACCTTTTGTTCCAGCTGCTATAACAAAATGCCACAGAATGGTTAAGTTGTAAACAACAGAAAACTTTTTTCTTACTGTTGTGGAGGCTGGGAAGTCCAGGATGAAGGTTCCAGCAGGTTTGGGTGACAGCCCTCTTCTAGGCTGCAAAATTCTTATATCTTCATATGGTGACTTCTGTGGAATTTCTTTTATAAGAGCACTAATCCCATTATGACAGCTGATAGCTCCACCTTCATGGCCTAATTACTTCCCAAAGTCTTCACCTAGCAATACTATCACCTTTGGTGTTTAGGTGATAGTGGTAGTGGTGGGGAACACAAGCATTCAGACCATAGTACTGCCTACACACATAGATTTTTCTACATTTTCATATGTATGTATGTATCTATATGTAGCATCCAACAGGATGACACCAAGTTAGAAGGAAAACTTAGTCTGACTAGTTCAGGAAAAGCTTGGAGCAGCTTCCAAAAAGTGTTTTGACCTACTCAACGAAGGTTGGACAGAGAGTAATGATACATACCACAGATGCACTTGTGACTATCAGACCAGAAGAGGTCTTGGAGTACATCTGTCTAGGGCTGAAAGATTCAAATGGCCCTTCTTCTAAAATGCCGCCCTAGTGGTAGCAAAGCCCAGAACTAGGGGCTCTTGATCCTGAAGCCAATGTACTCCTGTCTGTCTTCTTTTTCAAAGGGGTCAAAAGATTAAGAGAAAGGGTTTATTCTTGGACACAGCATGGCAAACTATTTAAATTCACATTTACTGTTGCTAGAAATGTTTATTTCTTGGTATACTCCTCCCTGCTCATCCTGTCCAAAAATGCCAATACCCCTACTCAGTTTTTTTGTGTGTTTTTTATTTTAAATAGAACCCTCCTTGGTTCTCCCTTATGTATGTAGACTCTTGTTTGACCAAAGGTTGGCAAAAACCACAAGCCCTGGGCCAGTTCTGGCTTGTGACCTGTTTTTGTAAATAAAGTTTTATTGGACCACAGCCAGAATCACTTGTTTATGTATTGCCTGTGGCTGCTTTCTTACTATAGTAGAGCTGAGTTAGTTGAAATAGAAATCCTATGACCTATAATATAAAGACTAAAACACGGACTCTCTGGCTTGTTACAGAGAAGTTTACAAACCCCTACCTTATACAATCAAGATGTTCCTTCAAACATGCAATTCTCTTCCTAAGAAACATTCTTCCCCTGAGATAGCTGAGAAGTGCAATTCTTAGTACATATGCTCCCTTGAGAAATTATTTTTAAGTTTTAATAGGTTTGCAAGATATAGTAGTCCTTTTAACTACAAAGAATTTTTCAAAAAACCCTTTCCTTTGGAAGCAAATTCTGTGAAATGGTATGAGTGATATGGTGGGCAATAAAGAAAGATTTGAAAGAGGGCAGACACTTCTTTGGAGAATCCTAGCCATGGAGGGAAGGAAAAGCTGGGACAGTGGCTGGAGAGAAGTGGCATAATTTCTATTATGTTGGCATAACAACTGCTATTA